AAGCTTTAGAGTTGTCCTCGCCAGGGGAGAAGTTCTCTACCCACACACCCAGTTGCACCCCTCCTAAAGCAGAATGAGAAGAAATCTTGTCCCAATGACTGGGGAGAGTGCTTGTAATGACTGTGGGTGGCACAGCTGTATGCAGATATTATTGTGAAGAAAGTTAGCAGCACACCAAAAAATCCTTTCAGGATCACCAAATGTTCATTTTATGTAACAATTGTCAAATGAAAACAAGCGCTTTTTGGCCACGCAGGGTCCTGTTATCAGGCTTAATATCGAAGAAAGCAGCACCCCGGGCATATGCCCCCCCAGCCCCTCCTTAGCTTCGGCCCTGCACATTGCACACGTTTTTTTAAAAATCAGGTGTCTTCATCAAGAGAGCTCAGACTCCTCTGCTATTTTCACACAATTCAAATAATGGGAGACATCACCTTCCTTTTACTGCAAGTAAAACTTAAATCCAGCCTTCCAAGGAGCCTTCCAATAAAGATGTGCACAAATCTTTTGTGAGAAAACCAGTGAGAACAGTTTCAGGTGTCCCCGCCTTTCTCAAGCCTGAGTGAATAATAAATATAATCAATCCAATATAACCCCGGTAGCCAACCTCATGACTACTCTCAGCTGTGCATAGGCCTTTTTATTTATATGTGAGCTGACTGATGCTCATGGCTCTCTCTCAATCTGCCGTGGGAGCCTGCATCTGGGTGAAAAAGCTGAATGCTGACATAACTAAAAAAAGGTACAAGTGCTGTTTGTTTTAGGGAAGAAGTTAAAGGACAACCCGTTAGTCGGGAAGTTAGTGGCTTGGATGAGCAGTTATTTTGTTTTATTTTATGCTATGGACTTCCCTGGACGTCCTTGTCTCATGGATGCTGCCAATACCGGTTGAGTCTGTCTCTCTTACTATAAATGTACATACAGTGGCAAGAAAAAGTATGTGAACCCCTTGGATTTAATTGGTTTTCTGCAGTAATTTGCCATAAAATGTGATCTGATCCTCATCTAAATCACAATAGACAAATACAATGGGGGGAATTTATCAAAACTGGAGCAGACAAGATCTGGAGCAGCTGTGAATGGTAACCAATCATCTTCTCTCTTCAGTTTGTTCAGTTAACATTTGAAAATGAGAGAGAAGCTGATTGGTTTTCATGCACAGCTGCTCCAAATGCTGTCTGTTGATAACACACAAACAATTCGAATTTCTTGTGTCATTGAATACACCCATTAAACATTTACAAGGCTGGTGGAAAAAGTAAGTGAACACTTGCGCTTTCCGCAGCTCTGGATCAGTCCTGCACAATGTTCAGAAGGAATTTTTTGACCATTCTTCTTTACAAAATTGTTTGCGCTCAGACACATTTGTAGGATGTCTGGTTCTCTTGAGGTCATTCCACAACATCTCTATGGGGTTAAGGCCTGGGCTCTGACTGGGTCACTCCAAAAAGGCGCATTTTCTTTTTCTGAAGCTTTAATTCAATGCTTAGGGTCATTGTCCTGCTGCATCACCCAGCTTCTACTAAGCTTCAGCTAGTGGACTGCCACCCTGACATTGTCCTGTATGATATTTTGGTAAACGTGGGAATTCATTTTCCCCTCGATGATGGCAAGTGTTCCAGGCCCTAAAGCAGAGAAGCAAGCCACAATCATGATGTTCACAATACTTCACCATTGGGATGTTTTTCTGTTGGAGATCTGTGCCCTTTTTGTGCCATACATAGCGCTTAGTAATAATTCAACTTTTGTTTCATCAGCCTACAAAACATTTTTCCCAATAGCGTTGCGGTTTGCCAAGGTGCTCTTTGGCAAACTTTTATGCCTTAGCCATATTGCTCTACAAATAAGGACAGACATGTGTGCCATGCAAGACACCAATTAGATGCTTGTAAAGGAAGGAATCCCTTTTAAAAGATGTGATTCATTGAGACATAGAATTGCAAAGTAAAGGCCCGGGAGTTGTTTCAGTTAATTAAAACTGTGATTTAAATAGGGGGTCCAACTGTTTTATCAGTGAAGATCCTAAAAGTAAGGTCCAATGAACTAAAGTGATGAGATGCCCATTAAGTTGAAGTACTGGAGAGTATGTTAGGTACCATTTGTCAAGAAATTCCTTATGAAAAGGAAAATTTCTCCTCCAGAATGGAGGCTGTGAGGAAGATCTTTGTGTTGACAGTAGCTGAAAAACAGGATTTTTTTGTACTCGCTATAAAATTATTTTCTTTGTGTTTATTGGAGGACACAGCTCTACTTTAGATTCATAACTAACTCAGTATAGTGCTACCTGCAGGAGCGGGACACCAGGTGCACTAAAAAACAAAGACAACCCAAGTGGTGGCTAAAACCCCTCCAAAGCTGCGGACAACTTAGTTACTTGGCATAGCACTGCAAATAGCAAGAACAATGTATTTACTTAAATGTGCAGCAGCAAGCCAGATGGACAGGTGTTGTGGCTTCAAATGAACATAAAAAATAGGATTCCACAGTGAGTACAAAAATTCTGATTTTCTTTTCCATTCATTGGAGGAGACAGCTCTGCTTTAGATTATCAATGACTGGGATGTCCCAAAGTAGTGCCACAAAGAGGCATGTGAAAAATAGAATGGAAAATCATACTAACCATCGTAAAGAAAAAGGATGCAGGCCAGTGAAACTGCTGCCCACAACACCTTTACACCTAAATTAGCTTATGTTACCACATGCACCTCATAAAACTTGGTGAATGCATGAACTGACAACCAAGTGACCAACTTATAAATCTGCAAAAGTGATGCCAGATGGTGAAAGACCCAGGATGAACTTACCGCTTTCTGGTTGAGTGGGTTACACCAGGGACGGCAACACTGCTTTGAAACAGAAGAGGGCTTTTGGACTAAGTGACATAGTACACTAAGGTCTGGAAAGTGCCATCATTTATCTAGCAAGATACTGAAGCTTGGCCCAGTGGGAGATACCTCCATCCACACAGTTTAGCGTAGATGGAGGAATCTGTTGCACTTTTTCCATCTGACTATAGAGAATCTGCAGAAAATTTACAGAACTGTGGCCAGCTTTACGCGATTAGTAAAAAAAATTATAGATCAACATATCAACTATAAAGACCATTAGACCACCTCAGAGCAGCTTGAATGGAATGACAAAGAGCCAAAGAGATAAGTTGAACTTCAAGGTAAAAAGACATCAATTTGTCGCTTTTTGAGCATCTGTGGGCCCAAAGGGACAAGACCCATGAGGACTGTTGAAAAACATAGAATTTGCTAAAATGCATATATTGTAGACAAGCCACAATGCTTCTGGAAGAATGTCCTATGGACAGATGAGACCAAACTGGAGCTTTTTGACAGGTCACATCAGCTCTATGTTTACAGATGAAAAAAATACGCTTTCAATGATCCTTGAATCTGTGCAGGTGAAAAATAAATATCAAAACTATCAAGGAATTCTGGAGCCAAATGTACTGCCCAGTATCAGAAAGCTCTGTCTCGTTTGCAGGTCATGGATCCCTCTAACAGAATAATGATCCAAAACACACAGTTAAAAAGTACTCATCACATTCTCAAATAATTCATCCCCTCACAGATACCTCCTCATGTATCATTTCCCCCTCCTCCTTTAGATTGTAAGCCCTCAGGGGCAGGGCCCTCCTTACCATCTTGTCTTGAATTGTATTGTAATGTCTTCCTTATATTGTAAAGCGCTGCGCAAACTGTTGGCGCTATATAAATACTATGTAATAATAATAATAATAATACTCAAGGAGGGCTATGAACAAAACATTGAGTATTCTGAAGTGACCTACAGAGCTCTGAATCCTATTGGACATCTATGGAAAAAATGCACTTCAAACCTGAGATATCTAGAGCAGTTTGTTCTAGAATAATTAGTTAAACTACCTGTTAACAGGTGCAAAGGTCTCATTTTGAGCTACTGATATCACATTTTGGCAATGATTGCTTATAAAGGTTGTGCAAAAGAAATATTGGGTTAAGGGTCCCATCATTTTTGGCCATGCCAGTTTCATTTGTTTTATTGATCAAAATATTGTTAAATCAAAAGCAAAACCTGATTTTCATTAACTATAGAATAAACAATAATGGATGGGATGCCATTTATTTTGGTCAGTTTCAAGTTATTTCAGAAAAAAGTGTTGGTTCTTCAATACACTGTATATATAAAGTAAACCCTCAAAATAACCTCAATGGATTGAAAAGGACACAATAAACTGTTACAAATATGATTATTGTATTTAACGATAACGTAATAACACAATAGCATGGCTTACCTTCACAATCTTGATGATGGTCTTTAGCTGGTACACATGCAGTTGAAGGTCTAATCTGTCAGCCAACCACACACACATGACTTTCACTGATTTGCTATACCATTGCTGTAAAAAGGAGAAAAGAAAAGGCTCTGCAGTATTAATTTAACAGATAAGGTAATGACTACTAATGAAACACTCTAAAATGATGACAGGACAGCACTTGAAGTTAATAATACCATAATTTCTTTATAAAAGAACTGTATGTTTTGCCAGGAAATCAAACAAGCTGACCTGGACTGTTCTTTATGTGAATTGGCACTAACCGTTCTGCTTTCAAGCTGTAATATTCATTAAAAATTATTAAGCACTTTGTAGCCAGCATTTATTATTAACCCAGCATTAGCTATTAAAATCTAAATAATTTTATACATTCTATTGTGGCAATAACTAGGCACACGTCAGGAGTTTAGACATGCAGAAATGATCTGAAAACTATTTTTTGTTAATTGTTATACTAATATGCGTGCTTGCGTCACCTGAACCTGCATGTTATGGTAATGAAGACAAGTAGCAGGACAGTGACCAGCAATGTCTGATAGCAGCATTATATGAGAAGAAATATGGCAATTATCTAAAAAAACTAGACCTTATAGGAAGAAAGTCAAAGTGGATGTATACTCAATACATGTTATCTTAGTTTTATAAAAAATAAGGGAGAGTTAAAGTCCCTTTATTTCTTTTGTTGACTGTGTCCTCTTTCTCAGGGGTACAACAAAAAGACAAAAAATGGAAAGCGAGGTTAACTACTGAAGCGTGATGCTGGATGGTACAAGAAGTATTAAGTCTCCTGGTAGAGTGAGCCATTACTGGAAAGGGGGGTACTTTCAATCATAAGCCTGACTGATATACCTCTGAGTTAAACTGCAATAGTTAAACGAGAACCTGGCTGTCCCATGCAGAGATCTTCAGAAATAAGATATGTCATGACAACAGAAAGGTTTTATTTAAACATATCATTAGCATGTTCAGGAGGGGAAGAAAAGGAACCAGGCAATGCAAAATATAAGCAAATTAAATTTCAGCTTTCATTTCAGCCGAGCCAGCTATGTGACTAGACACGCATACACATACATGGCCATTTGCACTGCTTCACCAAGTCTCATTCAGAGACTAAAAGAGCAAATGTCAGCAGCAGAGACTCAGCATTAGTGATACAATTCATGTTAGATTTATGACCCATCAATAAGGTACTTAAATCAAGGCTTCAGTCCTCATTGTGAGCATTAATCAAGGAAAAGACAGTGTGATTGCCCATTTAAATAAATAACTGTTCTACCGTAATTCTCCTGAATGGCTCCTGTATCAGTCCTAACTATACACTCATTTTTGGAAATGACTTTATTAGACACATTTACACATGCAACGGCATTGCAACATTACAGCAAATTATGCATAGGTTACCAAGGCGGACTAATGGGTATTAGTCAACAATTGCATAGTTACCGTATTTGCCAGCGTATAAGACGACCCGACGTATAAGACAACCCCCTACTTTTTGTGTTAAAATATAGGTTTTGGTCTATACTCATCGTATAAGACGATTATAGCCCAAAATAATGTTTAAATGCACCCACTAACATCCATGGCGGTATTCCCAAGTGTGGCTCGGGGTTAATTTTCAGTACCATAAGCAGTAACCCCGAGCCACACTCGGGATTACAGTCTCTTACCTTG